TATAAACTCAAGAACAAATTTTAAGTTCAAAGCCCAAACAACCTGTTTGGGTAGGCCCATTTTAAAGAGCTCAAACCCAAAAAAAAATTCAAAAACATCCCCATTATTAAAAACAAAAAAAGTGAGGTTTTACAATGTTTTTTTTCCCTATCCTTCCACTCTTGTCACTCTGTCTCTCTCTCTCTCTCATCCCTCTATCGTGTCTCTCTCTCTCTCTCTCTCTCTCTCTCTCTCTCTCTCTCTCTCGGGTTTGTGCCTCACATCTTTCCTTCTTTTTTTTTGGTTAATTTCAATTTGGGGATTAGGGTTTCTGATTTTCTGATTTTAATTTCAATCTTTTTAAGATCTTAAAAATAGTTTGGAGTTCAATACCAAACAAGTTTTGTAATCTTAAAATCACTACTTGAAAACTCATGTTTTAAAAAAGAATCATAGTTTTTTTGAGTTTACTTTTTTGAGTAAGATCCAAACAGGGCCTTAACTTTTGATCACGTGAAGGGCAATGAGAAGGTATTAGAATTTTGGAAGAGTGACGAGATTCTTATGGTTACCGAATATGGAGATATAGTATCTTACAACCTTGAAATTGAGAAGCTTAAGAGTCTTCCCATGAAAATCCTATTTGATTTCGAAACTATTGTGTATCTGAATAGCTTAGTTCCGATCACAGGAGGGCAACAAGCTTGAGAGTGTGTAGATATATAATTCTAGCAATGTAATTTCGCCCTTTCTTTTTTTCTATTTTCCACAAATTTTCTCTTGTCCAAAAGCTTGATAAAAGCGTTGTATATTCATTTAAGAAAATTGTGCCCTAGCCCCCTCCTCCTAAAAAAAAAAAACTTGTCTAGCCACACAGACCTTGAGGGGAAGGAGGTCACTGTTCCTCCTCCAACCCTCTCCTATCTTCCTCCCCTCCTCTCTGCTTTGAAGCAAAAATCCCCCTTCCTTACTTTTACCTCTCTTGTCCTCTCATCTCCTTCCTACCCCTTCCCCTCCATTCTTTACCCCTCCATCCCCTCACCTTTCTCAATTTTTATTTTTGTTGCAGATTTAGGGTTCAGGTTTTTGATTTGCTTGGGGACGATGTGGCTGTCTTTGTTTGTTGTTTTGCAGATCTCGAGTTCCAACTCTTAATTTCTTTCGTGTGTTTTAATTTTTGTTTGTAGTAAGTGCATTCACTCCTTTTGAGTTTGTTACGTGTTCGTAGTCTCTACTTGTGAGAGTTTAAAGATTGTAGTTTGCAGTTGTAATTTTTTACACCACATACACTGCAGATTCTGTAGTCGTCTCGAATCCTCTTTGTCGTTCGCACCTACCCCACCTATGAACTTGTTGTCGTTCGTTTGGGCGTTGGTCAATCTAGGTCGACAGTAGATGTTGGAGTGAGCTGGTGGGTCAATGAGGTGATCTTCTTGTGCTGGGTTGCATAAGAGGATATGTTGCTATGGTCATTGAGCGATTAGGGTCACTTGAGGATGTCGTAAGTTTTTTTGGCAGTCCATGGATCGTTGAGGAGTTGATTATGAGAAAATCCAAGGCAGAAGAGCAAGAAAAGAGCGATTGACTCAAGAACAGTACTAAAAAACATTGGAGGAGTGGAGGTTGTGTGGGTTTTAATTAGAGATTTTCTATTTAAACCCCACACTTCTCTTTGTTCACCCCATGTTCTAAGTTCACCCCAACTTCTAATTTAAATTTTCATAATTTCTAAGAAAACCTCACTATCTTCCCAAACTACCCTTGAATACACCTCAAGCTGAAAAAATAAGAAATAAAAGAGTTTTTCTATTTAAACCCCACACTTTTCTTTGTTCACCCCAATACTTAAATCATTAAACAATATTTATAGTATACATGAGATTTTGTTGTTTTCACAAGACTGTTGGTATTATCCTCTTCATTATATCCACATTCATGTGGAGCATCCTTCAGAACCTTAGGAAGTCTTTAAGCTCATCAAGCTGAAATGACATTTGAAATTCTTAAAGTAATCCAATCCCTCACAAGGGTTAACTGATGATCCTTGAATTTTGAGATTGGATGATCCTTGAAGAGTGGTGGGGTGTGTGGGGTGTGTGTATAGATAGATTTATTAGGATTAAATATTAAGTTGAATGACCTTTTTTGTCTTTTTACACAATAATAAAACTGACAGCTTAATAATTTAAGTATTGGGGTGAACAAAGAGAAGTGCGGGGTTTAAATAGAAAATCTCTTTAATTATTTAAGTTTTGGTTTAATGACAGTTTAGTACTTCGTGGTTATATCCTTAAGACATATTAGTCAATATCTTCTCAATTTTTACAATTACATACCTCAATGTTAAGGCGGCGGCGAGGAGGATGAACTCGTGAGATGTCGTTGGGGGTTCGTGGATTTCGGTCTGACTGGGGTTGCGCAAGCCCCCCTCTCCGTCGCAGTCATCATCTTCCTCACAGCACCACCAGCACACCCCCGACCCCCTTCTCTCACTCTTGTTCTCTATCTCTCTCTCTCTCTCTCTCTCTCTCTCTCTCTCTCTCTCTCTCTCTCCACCTAGATTTATTCAGCAGAATTTTGTCAAAATTCAAAACCTAAAAAAGAACACATCACTGATATAATTGATGTAAGAAAAAAAACAAATCGATGAAATAGGTCGCATATTTAAACGGATTAGTAAGTGATAAAATTAAAAGAGCAGAGATAAACGCAAAAGAGAAAGCAGAGCGAAAATGGCAATGGTGAGTGTGAGCAAAGTGAAAACGAGAGGCCCCAACCACAAGATGTCTCTGGAAGATTACCTTCTTCTCATTCAGTCTCACTGCGACCTCCATCTCACCGCATCAGATCTCAATCAGGTTCTTCTTCCTCTTCTTCTTCTTCATCTAATTTAGCTACATCTTTTACTTTGATTTTTAAATGGAATATTAATTTCTTCTTCATCTCGGAATTTCGGTTTTGCAGATCATCGGCATGCACGGGTACAGGAAAATCCACGGAGTCAACAACGTGAGAAAATTCATTCATTCTTAGCTTTTGTTTGGTTCCAGAGAAAAAAAAAATTTGATCAAATGTTCATCGATTACATATCATGATGATTTCCATTTCTTCTCTAGGTTAGTTTGTTGTTTCTTATTTCGTTGAAATTTGCTTATATCTTCCTCGATTTTTCTCGCACTTTTTAGAAAACGCTAATTCATCACATTTTCCTATGTTTTTCCCCTTTCTTCAACTCTCTAGCAACGTCTGAGCGACGCCGTGAGCTCAATGTCCCTGGTCCAGCCGGCTCGCTCTACGCTCAAAGGCGGCATATCGCCATTTGCAATCACGGCGTCGGAGGACGGCATCGCTGCCCTCGACGTGCTCAACTAGAAAGAGTGCTGCGTCACCTCCATCGAAACCCTAAGCTCATCGAAACACGCCCACTGCTCTCCTCCTCGTACAAGCCCTTGCTACGACGTCGCCAAGCACAACAAGCATCAGCAATCGTCCCCCTTACAGCTGGATTCGATAGCCTACGACGTCGTTTCCGCTCTGGACGGTGCTTCCTTGTCCTCTGGGGCTTCTGATACCACTCATCCGGCAAAGGAGTCGGTGTAAGAGAGGAAGAGGAAGATCTGACCGAAACAAGGAAACCACATTATAACAAATTTAAAAGACCGGGGTAGTAATTGTAAAAATTAAGAAGATAGGGACTAACATATCTTAAGGGCATAATCACAAGGTACTAAACTATAATTAGCCCTTAAGTCTTTTTAGTATTTGAATTTGAATATGAATATTTGTAATCATTACAGTTTTTAAAATTAATTTAAAATGTTTTTTTTTCTTTCAATTTTAAAGGAATTTGGATGGAAGGACCGCATTAGCTAACAAATACAAACACAAGGATCAAATTGGCCAAATTGATAACACGGGACTAAATTGGACGATGGTGTAAAATACAGGGACCATTTTGACATTTCAACCTTAATAAAAACAACATAGCATTAAAGTGTAAATGGACGAAATGATAGTGGGTAAATCAGCACCCTAACCCTCTGTTTGGATGAAAGAATTGAAAATTACATAGAATTTTAAAATGATGGAATTTAGATTTCCATCATTTCAATTTCTGGCAATTGAAGATTTCAGTGTTTGGATTTATGTATGTTGAATTTTGTAAATGGTACTATGGAAATTGTGAAATTGTGAAATAACCCATATTTTTGTGGAAATTAAACTCGGGAATTTGATACCCTAATTTCCACAATTTTTTCTATGTGTTATTTAATAAATTCCGCGCTTAAGTTGCCAAATAAGGAAATTGTTAATTTCTCTTCTTAAATTCCCAACTTTTAGTTAAATTCCGAGTTATTTTCCCTCATCCTCCAAATGGAGAGTAAAGTAAAAAGATTTGGTGGTTGGAATAAATAATTGAGTTTGTGGGTTTGACTTGTTGAGCTTGATGCTGGTACGTGGTTGTGGTTGGCTATGTTTGATTTGCAGATCAAAGCAGTGGCTGGGGTGGGGGTCGAGGAAGTGAGGGGTGTTGCTGGGGATGGTTGCATTTGAGACATCCCATGTTTACGTCCATGCGGACGGACTTTAAAGTCTTAACCGCAATACCATCATTATTAGAGCTCTAACATTCCATGTGGCCATTGACTTTGGTAGTATGCATGTCTACACCTCTGATATTATAATTATTTCTTCCAAACAAGCAAATCTCTTAATCGGTTTTTGAATATGTAGGTTTTAGGTTTTGTCTTTCCAGTTGTCTGTTTATTTGTTAACTGCTTCCTTGTATTTTATTATTTTTTCTTTAATCTTTTGAATATGTTAAAGAAAAAAAAGAGGGTTTTTATGACGAATTTTGTTTGTTTGTTTATACATGTATATTTGGTTATTGAGAAACTTGTGGGAAAGGTAACAAAAGTTGGATTTACCTCACAATTTATAAGTGATATAATTGCGATAGTACACCCCTTGTAACCTACTATATAAACAGCAAACAAAGTGATTCTTAGCTCAGAAAGCCTCCCCCACTCTATTGTAGTTCTTATTGGTTTAGTATTCTCTAAGTATGGCTATGTTGAAATCGTCACTCTCTTTCCTTGTTCTTGGTTTTGCTTTCTTCTTGTGTTTCATTATCAGCGCTGGTGATGGTGGGTTGCCTTACAATCTTTTGCTCTATATATCCTATATGCATATAATCAGCATTGCGTTTTTCTACTTGTATTTTTTGTTCAGAGAAACTATATTGTGTGTGTTGCAATAAGTGCAGTCTATTCATCACAATAATTTTCGCAGGATCTTATGTCTATTTTCAATTTGTGCAACAATGGCCACCGACCACCTGCAGAGTTCAGAAGAAATGCTCTAAACCCCGGCCATTACAAAACTTCACCATTCATGGCCTATGGCCAAGTAATTATTCAAACCCAACGATGCCCAGTAATTGCAATGGGTCGCGATTTAAGAAAGAGCTATTGGTAGGTATTGTTTCTTTTGTTTTGTTTTGTTTTTTTTTTTTCTCCATTTACCCTTAAGCATTTAGTTTTTAGGAAATTAGTTTGTCACCTGAAGATAATATGCTTTTTTTCAATAAACCTTGCGAGTTGGATAAAATTTTGATGTTAGTTATGTGATTAGGCACATTATTTTGATTGTATACATAAGGACAGAATACAAATGAGCAATGCTAGGCATATCACATTTACAAATGTAGTATGACTAGCATTTTTTATTACAAATATATGTATATTAGTAGATATATTAATGTACATAATTTCAACCATCATATAAGATGGTATAAAATTGTGGTAAAAATAGCAGTGGTACCTAATAAAATGGTAAAAATTAAAATTCAATTTAATAATCAGGTTATAAATGAGAAAAGATGAAAATCTTCGCTAACGTTTTGACTTTTTTTTTCTTCTCAAAATATGGCTATATTGCGTGGATGTCCAGTCCCCTCGAATGCAATCCAAACTGAAGATATCTTGGCCGAACGTTGTAAGTAGCAACGATACAAAATTTTGGGAAAGTGAATGGAACAAACATGGTACTTGTTCCGAACAGACACTTAACCAAGTGCAATACTTCGAGATATCCCACGAAATGTGGAACTCGTTCAATATTACAGATATCCTTAAAAACGCTTCAATCGTACCACATCCGACACAAACATGGAAGTACTCGGACATAGTATCAGCCATTCAGAGTAAAACTCAAAGAACACCCCTCCTTCGTTGCAAAACGGATCCAGCACATCCTAACGCGAATACTCAGTTGTTACATGAAGTGGTATTTTGTTATGGATATAATGCAATAAAGCAGATTGATTGTAATCGAACAGCAGGATGCAAAAATCAAGTTAACATCTTGTTTCCATAAAATGATAGCTTTTCGAAGTCATCACAAAGTACGATTGTTTTTCACGCAAAATAAAAGTAGTATGGTTTTAGTATGGTACTAGTGTAATTAATAAAATAAGAAGAGTTTGAGCAGAATTGACTCTGTATATTTTGATGATGATTTTACTAAAAACCATCAAAAATTGTATTGCTTGAATTTTTTGGCTATAATCAGCCAAGACCCGTAAAGGTGAAAGTAGCCCTCCCTTTTAATAATTCGATGGATTTGGGGATGAAATGATAGAACCATTGAGTTTTACAGTAAAAGGTTTGCAAAACAAGGGTAGACTGCTGAATACCCCAATGAATTATCACGTTTGTTGAAATCTCCACTATGAATTAATTTTTCAGCCAATTTAGACTTTGCATTAAATTTATTCGCTAATTTCATCCTTATCGTTAGCTTTTTCACAATTCCATCCAAATGCCCGTCAAATATAAGGGTAAATTTGATATTTTACAAGGTATTGTATTAAGAAAAATAAGGAAAATGTAATATAATATATTTAAAAGGTATAGCATCCCTTATCCTCACTTTCTATTCCATGTTCAGACTCACCACAGCCCCAAATTCACCACCTCGCCATAACCTCCCCTGGTCCAAATATAGGACGTGGCTAAACTACAACAGACTCGGATGGACTCACATCGAATGGAAGATATCGTGCTACTAGAGAAGATAGAAGCAAGAAAACAACCGCCAAAATGGAATTAGCAATGGGGATTTCCAAAAGGTCCAAAGGCGCACTTCCTTAACTTAAGGGGGTTGTTGTGGCAGGATTTTGGGTGGGGCAGAGAGAGAGAGAGAGAGAGGTGGTGGTCTGGTAGGCTTTTATTCTCCCACAGTGAGTACACAAAATTACATTTTGTTTTGAGGGTTAATATAGGTTTTTTTTTTTGTTGTTGAAAAGAAACCCATTATGATTTGAGTTTTTTGTTGACAAGAAACCCATTGTGATTTGAGTGTTCATGGGCTATGTAGCACGTTCACTCCATCAGGCCGAAGTGTTGAAGTGTCGGACACGCGGACACGCCCCGGACACGCCTCGGACACGGCTTGGACACGGGTCAACGGTCAAGACACGGTCAAGACACGTTTTGGACACGGTCAAGACACTTTTGGACACGGGTCAATGGAAGTCAAAGACACGGCAGGGACCCATTTGAAAATTTAAAATAAAAATGTGGGTCCAAACATAATTATTGAAACATATGTGGACATATTTGAAACAATTTTTTTAAATGGGCTAAAAATGTAAATTGAAAAGTGGGCTAAACCTGTCTTTCTACAGCCAGCAGGAGAAGAGAAGCCGCATCTTCTAAAGTTCTAATCTATTCTTCGTGTGCTGGCCTCTCTCCCCCTCTATCTCTATCTCTTATTCTCTATTTCTCTCCCTCTATCTCTTCTTCGTGATTTTCTCCTTCTCTCCCTCTATCTCTTATTTTCTTCTCTACGAACTGCTAGTGAAGGAGGTGAGGCTCTGATTTATTTTTTAAATTTTTTTCTCAGTTTAATTATGAACTGCTGTTTGATTTTTTGTTTCTTTGTTCCTTCATAGCAGAGCACATCATTTTGGCTGGACTATTTTTAAAAATAGTATATAACTTGTGACATTAAAGTATTGAGTAATTGGTCAATTATTTTTAAAAATATATATAACTAGTAAGTATATTCGGATTTATTATTATTTTAATTGCCGTGTCCTAGCCGTATCCGTGTCCTAGTTTTTTGAGATTTTTCGTGTCGCCGTGTCGCGTTTCCGTGTCCCCGTGTCCGTGTCCGTGCAACATAGACCATAAGAGAAGAAAGAGAATGTTTGAAAGGGGAATCAATGAGGGAAGACAATTATTGCAGATTTGATTCCTCATCAGTGACAGGATTGCAGATATGGGAAAATAAACTTTGATGAGGGTTTGTGTCCAAAGCTTTGATGCAGATCTGGGTTGCAGATTTGTTTTCGTTTTGGGCTGGTTTTGGTTTTTTTTTTTTTTTTTTTGAACTTTTAGCTGTTTACAGAGAAAGAGAAGAGAGACGAAGAAGAAAAGAGAAGGATCAAGATATTTGGGTTGCAGGGTTGACATGTGCCATTCACGTGGTGTTTTTAATAGAGATTTGGATGGAAATTGCCAAAAACTAATGATGGGGGGCAAATTGGCGATAAAATTTAGAACGAGTGCTAAATTAACTGAAAAATTAATTCAATGTGTAGATTTCAACTAGCGTGATAGTTCAAGAGGGTATTCAGCAGTTTACCCGCAAAATAATGGGCTTGATTATCCGGTTTTCTTCAATATTGTGATTACGAGTGTCTTCAATTACTGAACAGTAAATTGAAGAAGTAGAGCAAAGACAAGAAGAAAAAAAAAAGTATATTTATCAAAGCTGATGTGGCCTACCTACAATCCTTGGAAGAGGGCAGGGCAGTCCATGTAGGAGTGGGTATTTGAACTGGTGAGCCAAGTCTAAAAAACATTGGAAAAAAATAAGACAAAAATAAATGATCAAGGAGGAGGGCAGGGCATTCCATTCGAGACCAGAACCCGCAACAGAGACGGAGGTGGCTGGTTGGCAAACAGAGCACAAGATATTTTTTTTGTCAAAGTAACTCTATTCATTAAGAGTGAGAAACATTACAAAATGTGGAAAGCTCAAACCAAATGCAACCCATGACCAACAAATAAAGCAGACCCAACATAAAGATACAAATCCAAATAAATAACAAAAGCCCATGAAACATTAAACAAAAAAACTAGATCTAAAATACAGGAGTAGTCGCACCACCTAACAAGCCAACAACACCACCAGAGCAAATCCACCACTACCAAGGAGGAGTAACCGATACCAAGGGGTGTCAAAGATTCAAACGGAAGATTAGGGGCCACCTACACAGAAGCACTCCCATAATCCAAAAGTCAAGTGCAGTATGCACTGTAATCGCATCCTCAGACCCCCACACACCACCGAGGATGAACAACGAGAGCGGCGGATGCAGAACCTAGGAGAAGCAAAGGGTGGTGGTTAAGAACTGGCGATCAGACAAAATCGTTGACCATGGGTGGGCGACATCACAGCATAGGGGAGATGAGGAGAATGTAGATGTAAGAAGTGGAGGGTGAAAAGTGAAGGTGGTTGGAGAAGAAATGAGAGGGAGAGAGGGAAGATCTAAGGTCTCACATGTTGGGCATAGAATAGGGAAAAACATAAACTAAAAAGGCTAATGAAAATCGAATTTGAGGCAATGAGCCCCAAATCTGAGACATAGCTCAAGGGAAAAACACTCATTTCTGATGGGGAAGCCAAGGACTCTCAAAATGGAGGAGGAGGAGAGCTCTCTGACTTTGTTTTTTGGGTGAAAAGACGGGGCCATGAGCAAAAGAAAACATTAAACTACAGTCCGAGGTCTACAGAGACCACGTAGGTCATCAACAATAGAGGACCTAATACTGTCGGGAGGCACTTGAAAGGTACAGAGACCCAAATCAAGGTAAGAGCCCAAGTTAGCCAGTCTATCAGCCACCATATTGCATTCACGATAAACATGATAAATAGAGCAGCCCCAACATTTTTTGATGTAGTCCTGGCAGCCCCATAACAAGGTAGCAAGAGGATGGAGGGCATCCACAGCTTTATTGAGAAGATGCACTGCAACGGCTGAGTCAGAGTCCAGCACAACATCACTGCAGCCCATATCCCAAGCAGATTTGAGACCATAGTAAATACCCCATAACGTAGCATCTAATACTTGACCATAACCAATATTAGCAGCAAACACTTTAACCCACATCTCAGAGCTTGATCTAAGAACACCACCACCAGCAATGCGACCAGTCTCTCCATTTCGGCAACCATCAATATGAATTTTAATCACTCATGCAGCAGGGTACTACCAGGATAGAGTGGCTAGGGAGCGGACAGGTTTATGAGCAAGATTAGTGTTGGCATGTTGCCAATCTGCAGCAGCCAAAAGAATTATGTGACTGGGATTGGGAGGGAAGACAAACCCAGGATAAAAAATCTTCTTGTTCCTCCATTTCCAAAGGAACCAACATGTGAAAGCAAACAAAGTAGATCACACAACCCCATAACCCATTAAGGTGTAGTTGTGTAAATTCTTTCCAACCCAAGTAATCAAGTTGTCATCCTGCAACAAGTTTAGACTTACAGGCAAGGAGGATTGGTGCCAAACAAGAGAAGCCATTAAACAATTCCTGATAATATGTTCCACATTCTCCACAGGGGCACCACAAATGTCACAATTTGCATGCAGAGTCATCGTCCGCCTGACTCTTTGTTCATTAGTTAGTAACCGATCTTGATGGAGTAACCAAAGAAAATCTTTTATCTTAGGGGGAGCCTTTAAAGTCCAAATAAAGGCGCAGCTAACATCCATGTTGGAAGAGTCCATGCAATTAGCCATGTAAGCAGATTTGACACTAAAAGAACCATTAGAAGTATGTTTCCAAATAGGTGAGTCAGGTTTACAATATAACCCAGCAGGGACACAAATGATATGGGCAACCATCTCAAGGGGTAAGTCTTCCTTTAACTTCTGAAGATCCCAAGTTCCATGAGCAAGGTAGTCAACAACTTTCAACTGGAGTTTATCTTCATCCACTCCCTCAACACTCTGAATCAAGGGGCCATCACCAAACCAATAATCAGTCCAAAAGAGGGTGTGCAACCAGTCACCCACTCTAATTTTCACTCCATTTTTCAAGACGTCAACACCATGTTCAATAGCACGCCATGTGGGGGAGGAGGAAGAAGACATAGGCCTTCCATTCCTGATGATGCTCGAGCTATTCCCTTGTAGGTATTTTTTTTGTCAAAGCATTAGACCAAAGGTTATCTTTTTGTTGCAACAGTCTCCATCCAACCTTGGCCAACATAGATTGGTTCATAAGAGCCGTATGCTCAAGGCCAAGACCACCTTTCTTCTTACTCATACAGACAGAACCCCAATTGACAAGGTGGGTTCTCAAGTTGTCACCATTGCTGCCCAACAAAAAGTTCCTATTAATTTTATCCAACTCATCACAGGTACTTATAGGCATCTTAACGGTTTGCATAGTATACAATGGGATAGAAGCAACCACAAATTGGATTAGCGTAGCTCTGCCAGGCAAACTTAGCAACTTACCTTTCCATGTAGTAAGCTTCTGCTGCACTTTGTCCACCACGCTTCTCTAGGTGGCCTTTGTGATTCTGCTATGAATTGAAGATAAGCACAAGAGTTTAGTCACTATATACAGCTCAAATTTGTTCACAATCATCTTCTTCTTTTCTTCCTTTTTTCTTTTTTTGGTTTTTTGGTTTTATTTGTTTTGGGGTTCGAATCTCTTTTGGGGTCCCGAGCCTCTGCATTTACCCGCATTTCATTAAATTTCTCCAATTGATAACTTTCAATTTTCATGAAAAAAAATACCCAATTCATTGCAATACCCATCAATTGATTGTCATTTGGAATTCAACCAAAATTAATGAAAATAAGCTGCACTCTATATTTGGAAATCAGAGATGAAATGATAAACTATAGAATGGAAATTTACAGAAATGGGGGCTGCAAGCAGTCGGTTCATCCTCAAGCAACCAGTAGTGTAGTAGCCGTTTGACGCAGTTTATCGACTCCGCCAGACACTTGAATTTCCAAATTCGTTTAGCTCGTCGGCCACCATATATATGTGGCTCGACGGAGGAGCCTCCATCACCATCAAGCAAGAAACCGAAGCCCTCTGTTTCAAATACCACAATTCCGAATGCATTTTATGGATTTTAATAAGAAATTTATGTCTGTTTGTTTGTCGAGTTTTAATTTAGCATGTCTGGGGTTATGGCCTTGGAGTTTTGATTATGATTCGGCTGAGGCAGAACAAGAGGGAAGATAAATGAGGCAGTGTTGTTATTGTGGTGGAGTTCACATGGTTGGATGGAGAGAAACTAATGCAAAGCGGAAAAGACAGACCGAAACGTCACCAAGAGAGAAGTCGGGGAGTTACTTAACGTCATTTTAGAATTATATCAAAGGAAAACTCTTTATTAGTTTTGGTGTCATGTTTTGAGTTTTTGGATTATTACAATGGCTCGAATGAAGTGAAATGCATGTAAATGCGGAGACTCTAAATGCAGAAGCTCGGGATCCTCTCTTTTGTACCAAATATCAAAAAGTGAGAGTTCCTTGTGGAGCCTACTCAGAATTATAGTTCAATAATTCAAAACATCTATTTCTCAAGCTTCAATCTAAACGTTGTACTTTCAAAAGAAAACATAGAGAAAAACAGTTTTTATATACATCTGTTTAATAACTATTGAGCAAAACCAAACTTTCTGTGTAAGTAATTGCAAACAAGAATTCGATTTCGCCATATCTCATGACGGCCAATTGAATTCCTGTTTCAAGAACTTGCTTGGATTCGTAATTACACAAATACAGATATGCTACTCCTTTAATGAAATCTCTTCTTTGCATTATGAGTTCATTATCTATACTAATCCCGATTGTACGATGACAATGATTCAAAGGAAAAATAAAAGGACACAATTGTTTCCACCGTTTTTCCTGCAGAACCCACAAGTCAACTTTGTCCATGCCCTCCTCATCACAACCATAAAATCCAAAAATCAAGCAAATTAGTTCCTTGTAGACGTCAATGCATAACTCCCGTGGACTGCAAATGGCATCTGGTGTTATGAATTCTTCGAATTTTTCGCTGCCTGAATCGAATGACATAATGCTGCATATAGGACCTTTCTCAATGATGTGGTATGCTACTCCATTAAAAAATGTACCCTTATGATGCTTCCAAGTGCATTTTAACCAAGGAGGAATTACTTCAATCATCTTCCAACAATCTGTTTTAAGACTATAAACCTCAACTGCCAAGGCACCTTTGTTGGTATGCATCATCCTTACAGCCTTGTAGTCATTAACCCCGGGGTGGAACCCAAATTGGAGAGAAACATGGGAAAATTTCATGTTAATGTTGGTGCTCATTGGAAGAGTCCTGAATTTCCTAACCGATGGGTTCCATATTTGTATAGGACTATCGAAATTCAATATCTCATCCGACATGCAAACTAAACCATTGCTTGAACCATATATTCTAAAATGCTCTGTGTTTTCTAAAGGATGGCTTAAATTGGAGAACTGCTCAAACTTTTCATTGGAAAAAAGTGACCACTGAAGTTCTTCTATATCATATGGGTCATCATTGTCGTTCTGACGTTCAAATTGTGGGTGGTGAAGGCAAAGTAGATAGACATGAGCATGTTTTGTGACATTCCTATGAAGGTGTGTGCGAACAAAACTTGAGCTGCCAATCAAATCACTCCACGACTTGCATGTACATAGAAACCGAATGAGGGATTTTGCAGGTAGTCTTACTAGGATGTCGATTAAGATCTCGTTCTTACGTAATGTGAATGTCATCCTGCAGAAAATCATAATGAAAATAAGTTAGAATCTAAGTTATGGATCTTAACAAGAAAAAGAAAAAAAACTGAGTTAGGAAAACACTTGTGCTTTCCTGTTTGCAGAAAGTCCAATGACTCACTTTTGAGGTTGGTAATGGGCAATGGGAAGGAATGGAATTTCCAACAGAATTAAATGACTTTTCGTGTGCGTGTCAAACAACAAAATATAGAGATTCGTGAAATAGTCATGTGAAATTAGAATATTTATAACCTCCAAGAAAAGAAAAGGAAATACGGAAGAACAATTGCATTTCAGGCCAGCTTCTCAGGAATAAACAATGACTAAGATCCTGGCTCAACGTTATTGAATGGATAATACACTGGTCAGGTAATTTGGCGTCCTAAAATAAAGCACCACCACATGAAAACAATGATCAATAAAGCAGTGGCGGATCTAGGAATTTTTCAGGGAAGGGGCAATGTTAAAAGGCTAAAACATCAGAAAAAATAATAATAATAACCAAATAGCCTTACAATTTAAACAATACTAATATTATTCATAATTAAAATAAATAAGAGTTTTACATCTAAGCCTAATCGACTATAGTCTATTTTCTATATAAATTAAATGCACAAAATTCATTACACAATTATTTACCAAAATTAATATCAAATATGAACAAAATGCATGTCAATTACACAATTAGTCTATCAAAATTCATATGAAATCATCCATTAATCTAACCAAAATCAATACCAATTAATCTAACCCAAAGTACATGTGATTTGGAGGTCACGAGATAAAAGTAGATGCGATTATGAGTTTGGGGTATTTTTCGGTGAATTTTTTGGAGCACATATGAATTTTTAATGAATTTATAAATTTGATCTAATTAAAATTTGACACATGGCGCCCTGATAGTGGACCACATTAAAAAGGAATGCAAGTTGAGAAGCACAGGATTCTAACTACAAACACGAGTCATCGTCTTCTTCGACTGGTTGTGTCTGCAACTTAAGTGAAAAAATTTCAAAATCTTCTAAAATCTATAACTTTGGTTGTGGAGGTCCAATTGACGAATCGTTTTCTCCTATGTGATCGTGAGATCGAGCTCAACAATCTAAGGTAAATATTCAGGGTCTCACACAGCAGCAATAAAACAGCCTCTTTGAGGCTTTTAATCAAACACTTGGTGGGCACAAGCAAAGGGGCAAATTCCTGCATCTCCAACGCATTTTCCGGCCAGAGGAGCACCTCCTTGCGCCTCTATGGGTCCGCTACTGCAATAAAGTAACGAAATCTAAAACTTTCCTAAAAAAGGGAAAAAAAAAACCAAAAATATCATCATAGCATTTTATTTTAGGAAGCTCTTTATTTTAATAAGAGTGCTGCTATTTCCACCTCCTTATTCTATTTTCTCATCCATTTTATCTTCAAAAAAAATTTTAAATTACCTCTTTATAAAATAACTTCTGACACCCTATCCTATTTCCCGTAACCCACCCATTCTCCCCTCATCCCTGTCAAACACCACCCGAGGACCAAACTCGAAGCCCAGTTTGCAGTCCCTTCAGTACAAAGCCATTGACCCACAAAGAAGTTGTCGCAATTGATATTAGGGTTGATAGAAAGGAAGAAATCAAAACTCAAATTGAACTTTTTAATGACAAAAGTACACGTATCACCCTCCTCTACATCATAAACTAAATCGCATACTGAGCTAGTTTGTTTCTTTCCAAATCCAACTGCAACATTAACGCATGTATTACAAATGAACTACAAATCTTTTTTAATATTTTTGTGAAACTAAAAATAAATAATTTTAAAGGAAATAAAAAATTGAGTTAGGAATAATTCTTACTGCCAAGTTGTCTACTCTCAGCCATGGAAACCATTATATAATTGTAATTATTCTATGTTTTTAGTAAGAACTCTGTCTAGTGTCTGGGTAATGAGATTTGATGACAGTGAACATCCATATTTTTAGGTGGAGATGGTATATCTAGTTATAAGCCGGCCTGTCCAATGTCACATGTTTTTCAGGAATTTTTATGGAATTGTGATTGAAGAAAAGAATTGGAAGAAGAATAGGAAGAGGTTGTTGGGTTTGTTTGGGTAATTTTTTTTTAATTTTTTGCTTGATTTCTAGGTTTTACTTGAATTAATAATTAAATTATATTTTAGGAATAATGATGGGTATAAAGATATGATTGTGTTTTTTCAAATTTATATGGTGGTGCGGAAGATAAGGTGGTTGAGGAAATATGACAAAGGGTGGAAATAGCATCACTTTTTAATAATGATCATGATACAGGTTTGCATGAACATTTCTGCTAATCCAAGAAATTATATAAAGAAACTATTTATTCTTGTATCCCAAATAAACCCAAAAAACTTCATTGTCGTAGGGATGCCACTGTCAGCATTCCACATAAGTATCCCAAACCAATAAAATTATGACAGCTAGCAACCAAATTAAAAAAAATATTTTTATGCACCTTTTTCTTTTCTAAGAGGATTTCTACACCATTTTTTTCCTCTCTCTTTGATATCCCTCTCTCTCTCTCCTCCATTGTCGTTCAAACTCCGATTACTCCTCCTTCATCATCAACTACACATCCTTGATTAAATTTTACAAAGTATTTTCTGCACGCATGTTCTTCCTCTTCTTTGTTCAACATCCCTTCCTCTCTCCTCCTCTATTCCTCTTTCAGTCCGTAAAAATTAAATAACTCAGTTCTTCTTGTTCTGCTATTTCCATGATTACTCCTCTTCAGTCACTCCAGTCAAACAATATGGGTAGAATATTTTTTAGATGTATTTTATTCTCCGAAAGGAGGTATTTATAATACAAGGTTACAAACCCTAGTAGGGTTATACTAGGAAACAAGAAAAGTCCTAATTACATAATATCTATACAAAAGGAAATAAATAAAAAACCTAACAGAATAAGGATATCTAGCCAACATTCCCCCTCAAGTTGGAGCAAAGATGTCACGCATGCCCAACTTGTCAAGCGAGTTAAGGAATATACTTGTAGAAACAGCTTTCATAAGGACATCGGCTAACTGATACTTAGAACTGATGAACGGGAAGGAAACAATCTCCGCATCCAACTTCTCTTTAATGAAATTTCGATCAACCTCCACATGCTTTGTACGATCATGTTGTACAGGGTTATGAGCAATTGCAATCGCAGCCTTATTGTCACAATATAAATCCATGGGTTTCTTAGGCTTAAAGCCAAGATCTCTCAATAATCTCCTCAACCACAGTAACTCACATACGCCATGGGTCATCCCACGATACTCGGTCTCAACACTAGACCGAGACACCACCTTTTGTTTTGCTTCTCCAAGTAACAAGATTACCACCAACAAACATAAAATACCCAGACGTAGAACACCTATCAGTAGCTGAACCTGCCCAACCAGCATCTGTGTACCCTTCCACATCTGTATGACCATACTTGGAAAACATTAACCTCTTGCCAGGAGTTACTTTAAGATATCTCAAAATACGTGTCATAGCTCCCCTATGGTCTTCACTAGGCGAGTGCATAAACTGACTCACTACACTCACTGCATACGCAATGTCAGGGCGTGTATGAGCTAAATAAATTAATTTCCCCACAAACCGTTGATAGCGCTCCTTATCAGTAGGAACTTGATTAGGATATAACCCCAATTTGTGATTCTGTTCACTAGGAGTATCATTTGGTTTACAATCCTACATTCCAGTTTCTACAAGTAAATCCAAAACATACTTCCTTTGGGACAAAAAGATACCATGTTTAGATTTGGCAACTTCAATCCCGAGAAAGTACTTCAAGTCACCTAATGATTTCATCTCATACTCAAACGCCAGATATTTCTGGAGATTTTGCATTTCCGCCTAATCATCTCCAGTCACAATCATATCATCAATATAAATAATTAAAGGTGTCAATTTACCTTTATGACGCTTTAGAAACAAAGTATGGTCTGAGTTACTCTGCACATACCCAAACTTCTTCATAGATCCTACAAATCTCCCAAACCACGCTCTTGGAGACTGCTTCAATCCATATAAAGACTTCTGCAGCTTACACACAACACCCTCTTTAGAGGTTACAGGAATACCAGGAGGGAAATCCATGTAAATCTCCTCCTTGAGGTCACCATGTAGAAACACATTTTTGACATCGAATTGCAATAAGGGCCAGTCGCGGTTAGCAGCGAGGGACAATAATACACGCACATAATTTAGCTTTGCCACTGGAGCAAAGGTCTCCAAATAATCCACTCTATAGGTCTGAGCATAACCCTTTGTTACCAATCTAGCCTTGTAACGGTCAATGGAACCATCAGTCTTATGCTTCAAAGTAAACACCCATCTGCATCCAGCAACTTTCTTCCCTCGTGGCAAAGGAACTAAATCTCATGTTTTATTCTTGTTCAAGACATCCATTTCAACATTCATGGCATCCATCTATTCGGGGTTAGATAAAGCATCATGCAGCTTAGTTGGTGCACATACACTAGATAATTGACACAAATATGATGCATATGACTTAGACAAACGCTGAGTTGACACATAATGGCTAATAGGATATTTAGACTTGGCATGTATATTAGGAGAATATTGTACTTCAAGTTTCCCACGAGTGGGGGGGGGGGGTATTGCATCGAACTCATCCATACAAGAATCACTGTCATTATTTTCAGATACAGGCGACTGGTCGCTTGCTTCAGTGTGACCGATTGTTTCGACACCGAGAGCACCTGCTTCATCTCCAGATATGGGCGACCGGTCGAGTTCTAAAGGGCGACCGGTCGTTTCTTCACATAGACCATATGTTTCATCTTCAGATATGGGCGACTAGTCACTTGTTTCAGTGCGACCTGTCATTTCCTTCCTGAGAGTAGTATCTTCAAACACATCATTTTCCAATTCAAGTCCCAGATTCTCCAATCTAAGACTCTCCAATTCACTCCACATCTCCCCCTGAATTGGAGATGAGGGAGAGACATAATATGACACTTCTTCATGGAAAGTCACGTCCAAAGTAACATGCACCTTTTGGGTAGGTGGATGATAGCACTTATAACCCTTCTGAGTAGAAGAGTAACCAATAAAGACATATCGCAGAGCACAAGGATCAAGTTTACTCTGTTGATGAGAGTAGACATGAACATAGGCAACACACCCAAAAACTTTAGG